ATTTTGTATGGTGTGATATTGGTAGATTCGGTATTTTGTATGGTGTGATATTGGTAGATTCGGTATTTTGTATGGTGTGATATTGGTAGATTCGGTATTTTGTATGGTATGATATTGGTAGATTCTGTATTTTGTATGGTATGATATCGGTAGATTCGGTATTTTGTATGGTGTGATATTGGTAGATTCAGTATTTTGTATGATATGATATTGGTAGATTCGGTATTTTGTATGGTATGATATTGGTAGATTCAGTATTTTGTATGGTATGATATTGGTAGATCTAATATTAAGTATCTCAGGATATTGTAGAATTCGGATGTGTAACTTGGTTGACATAATATGCTTTACTTACTTGCCATTTTTAGGTAGTATTAATAGCGTGTTAATATGGTGATGATAAATGTCGAATATGAATATATTTTTAATATATCCTACTTTTTGATGTGTATCTCTATGCTTTGCTTTCATTGTTGCAATATTGCATGTATTAGAAATGCTGTATGTTATCTGCCATTTGCTGTTAGGATTTGTTTACAAGAAATACGTTTGGAAAGCATGCTAGAGATACGAAACTGAAGAAAAAATCTCCTCATGGTTATAATTTGAACCATGATGTGTTTTTGTTTCCATGTGGTTTTTAGGGAACTCCTTACCAAATGATGACTGTAAATGGCTCCCAGATCAAAATGATCAGAGCTGTTATGACGAAGAAGACATAAAAGGCATTCTTGAGAATATAAGACATTACATGGCATACAGTAGTAAGCGAGAATGTAAGTGATGTTTATTGAGAGGTCTGCTATTCCTGCCATTAGATGCATGCCACTATGAATCTCCTCCTTACACTTCATTATACATTTACTAACTTGTTGATTTACTTATGTTTCCTATCTCCTTCGGTGGCACTAACTTGCACGTTTCATTCTGCACTCTGTTATTTCATTGGTAGTGACGACACTTTAGGGAAAATGTTTCGTTTGAATGAGATAATGGATATTTAATAGCAACATGCACTGACTTGGCTGATTATGGCTTTACGTGAATGTACTAATTTCTTACTTCCTATAAACTAAGATAATTTTGACAACTGTATGGCTAACAGGACAGATTTTCTTAGTGTTGCGTGTATAAGTCACCTTCGCAGACTTTAAAAACTCAAGCAAAATTAATGTTAAAGGTCTTATATAAGTATTAAAGATATCAACTCATAATTTTGGAAGGACTTCAACATATGACTCTTAATCTAGCCTAAACCTGTTATTTCTGTACTCAGGTGTTCAGCAAGGAGGACTAACTATTGAACAAGTAGCAGCAGAAGCTGAGGAAGGTTCTGTCTTCTTTGTATTATCCTTCTTTCTTTGCCTTATCCTAATATTTCAACATTATAAATATGTTCTTGTAGCTTTACAGCCTTATCTATCTGTATTAACTCACTTTTAATGGTGTTTTTGTGTACTTTATCCATCTTCTAAAGATTTCTTAGCTTTACAGCCTCTTTTGTGTTACATTTTAAAGATGATGTAGCTTTATATTTCTGTTACCTTTCTTGTAACAGTGTTGTAGCATTACAGCCTTATCTATCTGTATTAACTCACTTTTAATGGTGTTTTTGTGTACTTTATCCATCTTCTTAAGATTTCTTAGCTTTACAGCCTCTCTTGTGTAACATTTTCAAGATGATGTAGCTTTATATTTCTGTTACCTTTCTTTCAACAGTGTTGTAGCTTTACAGCCTTTTCTGTGTGTTACCTTTCTTTCAACACTGTTGTAGCTTTACAGCCTTTTTTGTGTGTTACCTTTCTTTCAACACTGTTGTAGCTTTACAGCCTTTTTTGTGTGTTACCTTTCTTTCAACACTGTTGTAGCTTTACAGCCTTTTCTGTGTGTTACCTTTCTTTCAACACTGTTGTAGCTTTACAGCCTTTTCTGTGTGTTACCTTTCTTTCAACACTGTTGTAGCTTTACAGCCTTTTCTGTGTGTTACCTTTCTTTCAACACTGTTGTAGCTTTACAGCCTTTTCTGTG